CTCCTGCCTCAGCAAACAATTCAAGCCTCGCTCCCCCCAACTCCACTGGTTTTTCTACGCGCCTCAGTCCTCGTTGTCAAGATACGAGCTTAATATCTACTCCTAGTGACTCAGAAACCGCTTTGAGTCAACCAGCAAGACCTGTAATCATTGGTATTGGTGGCTCATCTGAAGACAAAGAAGGCGATGATCCACCGTATGCTCCCGAGCAGAACAGCAAGAACGATGCAACAGAAAGTCCAACACCCACACCAACCAATCAACCGCCAAAAAAAGATATTTCAAAGAAGCGCAAGAAAGTTGACAAACCTCAGCAAGGGACCAAGAGCAAGAAAAGCTGTCCCGCTATCAAGGTAAGTTCAAGTGCTTTAATTCGTCTGAAAACTAGGTGTCTGATCAATTCCAAATGCTACTACTTCAATGTAGGACTTCACGGCTCCTGATGATGTCAACACTGACCAAGTAACGGATGACAAAGGCCCAAAGACCCAGTTTCGAAAAACAACAACTAACGAAGTCAAGCTTTTATTATCATATTACATGGATGAACCAGTATATGTTAAAGGCAAGGAGGTAAGTTGACTACATTGATTCAATTATATCTAATATTGACATCTAATTTTCATATGATTTCTTCGAGTACGGGTGTCAAAAGGGGCTACGTGTGTAGATGGTGTAACAAAAATTTTACAAGAGGAGAAGACAGAAACTCAAATCTCTACGGACATTGAGATGGCTACAAGAAGCAAAAACCATGCGAACAACGTCACAAGGCAATTAAAGCCGGATTCGAACTGCCACCTACTTGGAAAGAGCTCAACCAACCGATCGAAGTTGTCAATCCAGTAAACAACATGAAGAGTTTCCTATCTCAGTCAACTTTCAGCATTGAATTGCTGAATGTTGTGCTGGTCGTTTGGATTCTTCGACACGCCATGTCGTGGCTTCGCTTTCAGGACCAAACATTAAGAGCGGCTTTCAAGCTATGCAACCAAACTACACAGCTGTGATCCCCCAGGTGGGCAGAAACTACTGCCAAAGAATTATTCTACTTGTTGTATGATGTTGTCATTGCCCGGATCAAGGTAAATTCTTTTTACATTTTGTTATTACATTTTGTTAATGTTTTACGTTTTATCTTACATTAATTTCTCACTTCATTACATCACTTTGTTACAGAACAATTCGAGTATGTTCTTGTTGGCTCATGACAGTTGGACTACTAAAGGGAATTGTATGGCTTTTATTGGGGTCATGGTCAACTACATCAACGACAATTGGCACTATCAGACAGTTCATTTGACCTTGAAGTTGGTCACCTGGCATCACTGTGGTGACCTTCTAGCGCGACCTGTTGCTTGAAACCTTATACGCCATGGTTTGCATAAGAAGGTCAGTTCATTAATTTTGATATTGTTTTGCTACTGTAGAAACTGAAAATTGATTTCTTCAGATGATTGGCCAGACAACAGATTCTGGGTCATCCAACGGCCCCATGGCTTGTGAAATGGCACAGCTATTCCAAGAAAGCGAGTCACCTGTCCACTGGTAACCCAAACAGAACCACGTAAAGTGCTTCTGTCATAAGTTAGCATTAATGGTAAGCCACGGCCTGAAGACCCTGGATATCAGTGTGGGTCATACCAAACCTACAACATCGCCTGGACTAGTGGTTCTGATCCCAATGATTTGGCTTAACGATGAAGAGTTTGAGGCTGATGATTCCGAAGACTCAGACGAGGAGCAAGGCAATCTAGTACCAAATCTCCCGGATGATTCAGAAGTGTCCAAAGACCCTTCAGATGTTGTCATTCAATCTCAAACAGCCGACATTGTTGCTCGCAGTGTTCATAAGGTAAGTAGATTCTGATTTAAAGTGTCAAACAAATTAATTTGTACTAATTACCAGTCTGGTATTTGATTCCAGGTTGACAAGCTCATTCAAATGACTTGTTCAAGCTCATCGAGACGAAATTATTTTGCTTCTACAGCAAAAGCTCAAGGTTTAAAGGTTCTCACTGTTGGTTACGGCGTGAGGTGGAATGTCAAAGCGGACAGGCGGCGCAGGGCTTGTGAAGGAAAAGACGTACGTATCTCAGCATAAAACTGTTTCAAAATTTAATATTACTGATGTGAAATTCTTGCTTTTGGATAGATACTCAATGCTATGACCTCGCAAGATCGAAAAACAAATAAGTATTACCGTGGTCTATCTTTATATGACAAAGAGTGGGAGGCGGTGGAGGCTTTGAATCCGGTGCTAGAGGTGAGTTTGAACAACATATGTACAATATGACAAGCATCTTCGTTTTGACAAATAAATTGCAGGTATTTGAAGATGCTACTTTTCACATGCAGGGCGACTTTTCCTTGGGATGCAAGGTACTTGCCAAGTACCTACAAATCAAGAAGAAGCTCGAAAGCCTGAAAGAGCTTACAATCTATCCCAGTATCATCGGTGCTATTGATACTATTTTATCGTGGTTGAAGAAATACCAGGAGGAGGCTTTGGGTACCTCTATCATAGTCATTGCTACTGTTCTCAATCCTTGACAAAGATTAAATTTTTTTCCAGACTTCTATCCGCATGCAAGTAATCAAGCCAACGATTCTATCAATGAAGTCTTTGAGGTAAGAATGTTAGAAAGGCAAATGAACAAACCCAATCCACCTGCACCTCAACCATCAAATGCACCTACTGCAACAGACGAGTTTGACATGTTTGCCGCTGCATCCGATAACATTCAACCTTCATCCAATAATGAACTTACTGACTACATAGCTGGCAAGTTTGGCATATTGCCCGATGAGAAACCTTTGGACTGGTGGAGGGTAACTCTCATCTTTTATCCACGTCATTTTATCATTTTTGTTTCAATACTAATATCGGATTTGGACACTCTTCAGAAGCACCAAACGTCCTTCCCGGTACTGGCATCGATTGCAAGGGACTACCTTTCCATATCTGTAACCACTTGCTGCGTGGAGCGGTCATTCTCTTTAGCTGCAGACGTTGCTGCACCTGGCCAAGGATCGATTTTACCCAATACAATTACTCGTAAGGTGGGATGCCGAGAATGGATCAAGTCTGGAATAGTCCCTAAAGATAAATTTGAGGATGCGGTGAAGTATCTCAAAGAATATGAGGAACAAGAGAACAAGAAGAAGAATAATAAAAAGTGCTGATTCCTCTTCTTCTACTTGCCTCCATGCTTTTCCTCTCTTGTTGACTTTTTTTTTGTTTACTATTGATATGTTTTGTTTCAATCTGATTGTTTCTTTTTTGTTTTACCTTGCTCATGAATGGTTCAATCCATATTGATATGAATTTACAAGGTTACAAATTTAATTTTATCATCATTCTACCTTGATGAGCCAAAATCTGTCCCTCAAATTGTCATTGCGATGTGGTACGGTACAGTTTCATCGTACCATAGTGAGAAGTTCACTACGGTGACGGCCTCATAACGCCGTGTCGCGGTAGTCATTGACTACGGTCTACCGCAGCGTACTTACAAATACACCGTAATCCAGCGCGTTACGGTGAGATTTGAGTGTTGATGCTATGTATAAACCCTGGCACAATAGGACTTAGTTGAGTTTGTGAAATCCACTCTGTTTACAAACAATAGGGGGTTTCAAGTCAATAAATTTACGGTATTTTACAGTCCAACAAGTTGTCCGATGTTGCAAAATATACCGTAAATTTAAAAAAATCAGGACACCTTTTTAGGTGTCCCAAATGGTGTTGACCGTATATTTGCAGAAAAAAAAATATTAAAAAACTTGTCCGTTTTTTAAAAAGTTTCACAAAAAATTTCTGACTTGAAACCCCCTAATAAATCACTGTGAATCAACCAGATACATAGTGGTATGATTTTGAAATGTAATTTCTTATTTATCATAACTTTCATCTAAAGAAGAATCATCACATTATCACAATACCCTCTTTATTGAAAAGGCAAGTCAATGTCCTTTTAAAGTCTTCAACTGTTAATGAGGAACCACAAGAGTATTACCAGTGGCAATGCTCAACAACATTAAAAATGACAACTTGGAACCCTCTACAGTAGGTAAAGTTTACTCTGTGCTACACTTGACAATGGCTGGCACCAGGCCCACTTGTCAGGCATTTTATGATTTTTTTTGGTCTGGTTTGGATTGGAGAAAACAAATGTATAAGGGTCAAGTAGTGATTACCCATTGGTGAACCAACTTAGTGGTTAGGTGCTCAACATGTCAACTACTTCCAGTTGAGCTTATGTCCCTGCACTACAGAAGCATACATAATACCCGGGACCAATATATAGCTTGACTGCTACCCTACAAGCTTAAGTACCTAGCCCAAACCCAGGCCCAAATGTTGACCTACTGGTGAAAAAACCCATGACCCATGCCATGGATGATCCCAAGGAGATATGAATTGATTTAAGCTTCTTCTTCTGATTAAACCTATCTACTTATTGATCTGGAATAATTATCATTGTGGTGGTGATGATTTTAAGTTTCTTTAGCTGATCAGGAGGCAGTACAACCTCAGGTTCAAGCATGGACATCCCAAAGCTTAAAAGCTTGACTCATATTATTCTTTTTATTTCGAGATGGTCTTGCCTTCAAATCAGAACATTATACCAGGGCCTGTTGTTTGTTTCCATAATCAACATATCTTTAAAACTGATCAATTGATGATCTAAATTATAACCAGAGCATTCCAATATCATCACAACCCCTTACCAAATATACTCGAGCACACAAGCCATGATAAGCCCCGTGTTAAAAGACCTTATAAGGCTTTGACTGGCTAGATCTCTTGGTTCAAATCAGTCAGTGACGTTAAATAAAGACTGTTGAATGATATCTCAACAGATTATAATGTTTCTTAAACAAAATTTGAAGTCAATCAACAAAGAGAGATAATGGAAAAACCAAAAGATCCAAAGACCCTTAATCTTAAATGATCATAGCCGAGTAAATTAGCAAATCCATTCTAATAGTAAATCTCATTTCAAGCTAAAGCTTTTCAATGGATCTTTTTTACGTCCACCTCCCCTACTACTTTTACCTCCTCTACCTCCTCGATTAGATTTTCGACCTTCTTTATGATATCGAGCACCAGAAGTTTTAACCACTGATGTTTCAGGTCTACAAATCGTTCTTGTATCTCCTTCTGTTTGATTGATAGCTACTGGTGCGATCTTAGGAACAAGATAGGATGGTACATGTTTCATATGTGGTTGGATTCGAGTCGGATGTAATGGTTTGTCGTGTTTGAGGAATGCTAGATCGTTTGGGTTGGCTTCAAAATGAGACTAGAGAGAGAGAAACCATTTCAAGATCAGATGGGATGCTTCGTATTTGTTTCTGATGAGAAAACTTACCTTTAACTTTTCCGAGTTCATCACTTCATTCTTAATTTCTTTAATTCTTGCTTCTCGAATTGCAGCTTTAGTAACCGAACGTAATCCGTCTTGCATCCGATACCTAAATCCTTCAACTTGAGTCATATCAAACTTATATTCTCTAATCTCAGAACCTCTTTGACGTTGTTGTTCTTCTATCCTTTGCCAAGTGTTCAAATCCTTGGTAACCTGTTGATCTACATTCTTCTGGGTAGAAGTACTGGCAGTTGATCGAACAAAAGAAAGCGAGATTCCTGTTCTTCCAGCTCTTGCAGTACGACCAATCCGATGTGTATAACATCGAGCAGAAGGTGGTATATCAAAATTAATCACACATCCTACATCTACAAAGTCTACACCACGGGAAACACCATAGTCTTGTGATCGGTCAGCGAATCGGTCTTTAGCAGACTCCTTTCGTTTTCTCTTTTTAGATGATTTCTCAGAGACTGTTGTTTCCACTTCTGCATCAGGCTTAGATTCTTGGACTGGTTGAGTAGGAATGACTGTATTGCAGATCGTGTCGGAATTGGTTAGTATCAATAAGCAGTAGAAAACTGTTGAAGAGAACCAAATTCTTACGAGATGAAGCTTCTTCCACGCTTTGATCTGCTTGTTCATCTTCATCATCACGACTATCACCACTCTCATCAGTTGCAATAAGATAATTAAATACACCTCGATTGAATTCTTGAACAGCATGATATCTAGAATTAAACGGTAACTCTGAATTCAAAACCCCACTTCTAATCCCAAACTTTTCTAAAAACAATTTAAGTTGATAAGATTTATCAGTCGAATTAACAAAAATTAAACCTTTTCCTTTAATTAATCTTAATCTAAAGATCACATAAACCAATAAAAATTTATCTTGTTCATTCGTAATTCCAATTGAAAATTGAGTTAAATTCTTTAATTCAGATTCCGTTTCTTTTACCATCAAGATCTCTGGATCTCTTAAAACTAAATTCTTTAATTGTGCTACTTCTTCTGTCATGGTAGCTGACATTAAAAAACTTTGATAAAAGTTTGGAAATCGCCATGTGATTCCATCTGCATTACCCGAGCCTGAAAGAATCGATTTGATATCATCAGATGAATGTCCGTATGAAAGGATTAGATCTGCTTCATCCAAGACTAAGAATGAAAGATTCGATAGATTTAATGATCCGCTTCGAAGTTTACTCAAAAGTTTTGCTGGGGTAGATACCAAGACGTCAGGTGAGCTTCCAGAATCTAAACTAAAGATCATACAAACATCTTCATCAGTTATTGATACTGATGTTGAAGAGGAAAACCTATTAGAGAAGCCTAACCGAGGCTTATGAAGTCTTACCGTTGAGTTTTATGACTTCTTTTTTTAGATCCTGATGCATCAGGTGCAGATAAATTTAAAACTTCAATAATAGCTTCTGATCCCATCCCATTACAAAGTGATCTAAATGTAACCGAAACTTGTTCACTAAGTTCTCGAGTGGGTACCAAGATAATAGCATTTAAATTAAAATTAATGATTTCAATTGGATTTAATCGTTTCTTGGCTCTTAAATCAAGTATGTTTTGGATAATCGGAATAGCATATGCTAAAGTTTTTCCTGAACCTGTTCTTGATCCTGCTAAGATATCTTTTCCTGATAAGGCAAGTGGAATGAAATCTCGTTGTACTTGAGTTGGATGTGAGAGTGATAAGGAAGCGAGTGAAGAGAGAATGAGTGGGTTGAGAGGTGGATTGAGTTGATCGAATGAGATTTGATGGTTGGTTTTTGAGTTGGACTGAGATGGTTTGGTTGAAGGTTCGGACATTCTCAAAGGTGATCTAGGTAAAAGTTGCTTAGAGTATCGAGTATGAGTATGGATGAGCTCATTCAACTTTTTGGCAAACCCTCTCAATCTGATTCCATCGATTTCTTTCTCTGTCACAGGCTGAGTCGTGGTTACATGTACTGATAACCTCTTGAAACCCATACATATCTCTCGGTAAACCATACGGGTAGCAGCGCGCATCCCCTGCATTGTGCTGTCTCAGATGCGGGCACGTGCGCGTAGGGCGCGTGGGTACCCAATGCGTCGCATCCAGGGTTGCGCCCATGGGCCGCTACGATGCGCTACGATTCTCTTCTTCCTTCCTGTAGATTGAACAACTTTGCATCTCATCTTATCAGAATTAAGCGTGATATACAAAGTGCAGAGCCAGAGGCATAGCTCTCTCGCCTACGAATAATTGAGGAGCTTCAAGGATTCACCTCAACCATAATACCGTTTGGCCCAAGGGCTAAATCTGATTGATGCATACAATTATCATCGAGCCTTACAAAAGTGTTGTACCCTATATGCCTCTGAAACTCATGTGGTCAACCTCAGATTTGAAACTCAGATAGCGGCACTCCTCATGCCGATGTAAAAGTGAGTCTATCATAAGTGTAACATCTTCGTCCTTTGTTAACAACAGCGAGGAAACTATCAGGAGTGAATCGTTGTTCGTTAAAGGTTTGAGACTTAAGCACTCTTTAACAGTCGGACTCGCATGGTATCTATGGTCCGGATACGCGATAGGAGTCAATATTTCCTCACATATTTGGGTGACATTTTGTTTGATAGACTAAATTTCCCATCCCACTGAACGAATGATGAATCTAGTCATCTTGTTGGAAGATACCCAATGGATAGAAACTCTACATGTTGAGCTAAAATTAACTGCTATATATCATATGTATCATACCACATTATCATAGTCTGAGTCATTTCTTGGTCTGCAGAATTGCGAAGAATGCATCAGTTGGGTTACCAACTTACAATAACATACACTTGACTTGCATCAAGGAAACTTGAGCAGTTCTTCTCAATTCAACCATCCTATCTGTCGTATCTCTAGTTTGGCGAAGATTCCAACTATGACAATGATATTTACATACCTACACCAGGTGAGAAAAAGCGCTCGACAACAGATTGAGTGAGCCGAACCATCAGGGTTGTTTGAATTTCAAGGGGACTTGAAGATTCCCGATTTGTGTGTTCGACGATATCTCCTTTTTGTTCACCATCATCGACTTTAAACCGTTCAAATGAAGTCTTCATACCTCTCTTCCGAGCCTATCGAAATCCCAAAATCCATAACTCATCAGTCTGTCCCCTACAACCGGTACCTACTACAGTCATTTAAGAAAAGCTTGCCCTAAATCGCCCGCAAAACTCGAGCGAATTGGCGGGGAATTTGGGGCAAGCTTTTCTTAAATGACTGTACTAGATCTGAGACTGTTTTTTGTTTAGATTATCTACTTTATTTGTAAATAGTTGAATGGTTCAGCTTCCCGTGGATTTTCCTTGGGTCACTACCAAAACTTGCATACATACTAGTTTCCTATACAAATTTTCCATTTTCCACATGATCGAATCAACTCTTCTCAAGCTTTTTTTTTTGGTTGTACACTTTAAAAATTCTTAACATAAGTTCTACAGGAAAATTCTTTCAAATCTTTCATACTACATCGTTCGTCAGCAGCAAAATTACACACAAGTCAAGTTAAACACACACTTTGTTTGATTGATGACTAGACTTGCATATCCTTTTAGTTTTCTTTAGTTTCTTTTTTTTTCAATTTCACAAACTTTTACAAAGCCCTTTTAACGAATTGAAATTCTAAGAACCTTCTCAATCCAAGTTTCTCTTCTCTACAACAACCCTGAGTTCCACTTCTCTAATCAATTTTGAGTTTGAGTTTTTGGATCTTGAATTTTATTTTTCTCGCCTCTCTCGATCATCTGCTTTCTGTGATTCGATCTTCAGATTTCTTTCTTATCATCATGCTCAATTTCCTTACTTCATACAAAGGATTATCTTCTTTGATTCGTGGACGTACAAAACGAAAAGAGAAGTCGAGTTGTGTTATAAGTTCTGATGGGAACGGTGATAGTGATCTGTTTGAAGTATCACCAGAATTTCTTGTCTCTTCTTCTCATCCGATCATCTCAAATATGACATGTCAACCCATATCACCTCCAAATCAATCCAACTCAATCGGTTCAAAGCCTTTGACCAAAGCTGATAGTTTAAGGTCAAACACCTCAGTCTTGTCTAAGGATACACGTTCGACACTTCGACATATTTATCAACAATGGGATCACGAGAAAGAGTTTGAGAAATTGATTGATGATGATGCTGATGATGATGAAAATGAGGAATTAGCATCAGTGGATGCAAGGTTAGAAACTGATAGCGAATTCGATTTCGATAGTCATTATAAATCGATTTATATCAAAAAGATCAAACCTCAAGAAACCCTTTCTGATTCAACTCTGTGTACTGGTGAGCATTTATTTCATGTTTTTCTTTTGCAATATTCGCTATACCCTACAATTTGCATCCAGGTTTATAATGTTTACTTTGTTAATCATTTCTTTTTGGCTTGGTATGTTTGATTTCAGTTGATTCAAGTTTATTAAACTACCCAGAAAAATTTCAATCAGATAATCTTAGAAAAAGTTCGATTGAAAGTTTAGAAGATCAAAGTTTAAGTACTTTAGCAGACGATGAACTTCCAATCCAAAAGGCCGTCAAGATTGAAAACTTTTATCAAAACCAAAACTTATTATTTTATGATCATGATGATGATCAATCTACGAATTTACAACCATTCCCATTCACATTTCCTAAAACTGTCTCGAAGACAAACTCAACAAACTCATTCAGACAATCCAATAACAAAAGACAAATTAAAAGAGTTAAGTCTAGATTAGATTTAAAAACTATAGAAGTGATGGATACCAATCGTTCAAAACCAATGACAACTACAACCAAAGAGAAAGCAAGTTATTATCGAAAAAGAAGATCAGGTATGATTGGAGGTTATCATCATCTTACTGAATTTAATCAAAAATTAAATGTAATCTCGATTATCAAGAAAACAAGTCAACCGATTCTAAAACTAAAATTAAGTATAAGTTCATTAAATGGTACTTTACCCACAAGTATTGCAAGCGAATGTGGAATGTATGCAAGTAATTTTATTGAAGTTTTAGAATATGACAAGAAAAGAGTTCATGAGATCCAATTTAATCAACAAGAAGAATCAAATCAAATCAACCGATTAGAAACTCTAGATTGTAGAACTGATTCTTATAATCTAACTCTTAGTCCTGGAACAAGTATCACATCAGCTACTCCGATCTACAAGCAACCAAAAAGAGTTCATTTTCTCGAACCGATTGCTACTTTTGATCATCAAGAACCAGTTCCATGCTCACCTCCTACACCTAAAAATCGTTTCTTGAGCTTACCTCTTGTTCCTTCCCTCACTTCTTACTGTCAACGCAAAAAAGAAGATTGGTCGTCAAAACGAAAAAGTCAATACCTTAATATATCAACTCCTTAATCCAATCTCTCAACACGCCTTCACGTGCACAAGATCAAAATGACTCATGATACATTGATATCACACCTCTTTAATTCCTCATATATATGCTATGCCTTTTTATTCCCTATGCAAACCCTCTAAACTTGATCCCTTTATGTAGACGCTCATGGTATCTCTTATATCATTGAGAGTTTTTTTATTCCCTAGAAAGAAATTGAATATTGTTGTTTTTTATTGATAAATGTTGGTTTCTTTCCATAATCACTCTTTTAGAATCTTTTCTTCTCCTTTTTTCGAAATACCGTTTTCTATTGCTTTCTTCTCTCGTAGAGCGAGTAATCTTTTCCAACTTAAAATTACAATGACACACTCATTCAATCTTATTGTTCGCTTTCTTCCTTTTCTTCCTTTTTTTTGTAACGTGCTACTTTTCTTTTCAAAACTCTCTGTACCCAATACCGTAAAATGTTTTAAAGACCAAAAAAAAATATATAATTTAAAATTGACTTCTTTTTCCTTTTTTTTCAGTTTTTAAATTTGTAACTTCTTTCTTTAAAAAAGAATTTGTAAACTTGAACTCTACCACACAAAGGATAGTAGTAGTAGTAATAGTGATCTATATAACATATACATATGTAATTCCTTTGATTTTCTATTTATCTCCTTTTCTTTTAGGATCCCGGTATCCCCACCACCCCCCCTTGGTAGCCCCACCACCCCCTCCCTTTCACAGCTAGTGAAAGCCTTACTTACCAGTGACACAAGCTGTGACAGTAATGTCCAGTCGCACTGAAGGGTCTCTGGATTTTGTTTTCTCAAGTTTGCTCACAAAAGATCCTCTTGGCTCAGCGGTTCCATCATTCAATTAGAATCAAGTATTGAATATGAATAACTGGATGACTTGAATCAATATTACTCCGACCAATTGAAAAAGACGACCGATTGAAAACCAAGATTGAAGATCAGTGAGTCAGACCAATTCAAAATCAATGTACCATAACGATCGATTTTTTTTAGAGTGTCATCAACTGTGCCAGCTAAAAAGAGCTATCAGAGACAAAGGACTGAGAGTTGTAAACAAAGTTAAAAGAATCCTACTGAAGTAAGAGGCCGAACTCAAGTGATACATTTGAAGACCCACAGCATGATGCAAATCTTAAAAATCTTCATATGCACTACCAATCCAAGACCAAGGAAATTAGTAACCCAAACTAGTAGTCGCATCAAATTCTCTAGAAGTTGGTATCAAATTTTTTGATTCATGAGGAGGTAGTGAACCAGTAGAAGCTAAATGCTTTTGGGAAGGTTGATTAGCTGGTGTGTGCTTTAAAATTGTTCTAAGTGCTATTTATACCGAGCAAACTTGAGAAAACAAAATCCAGAGACCTTTCAGTGCGGCTAGACAATACTGTCACAGCTTGTGTCACTGGTAAGTAAGGCTTTCACTAGCTGTGAAAGGGAGGGGGTGGTGGGGCTACCAAGGGGGGGTGGTGGGGATACCGGGATCCTTCTTTTATTTCTATCTTTTCAGCTTTTTCAAAAAAGTATATATTTACAAATAAACAATTCATTTTTGATTTTTTTTGCAATTCATTCTCGTTCACAAATATACAATTGATCATATGCGCTTGGAATGCCAGATCACACCAAATTCCTCAAATCTCCACTATTGATTATGCATCAAAGAAAGACGAGTTTTTATGCCAGTGCATAGTAAGATTTGCAAAACACGTGAGGCATTAACCAAGTCAATCCTCCAATTACTGACTCCGGGAGCCATGTGTTGTGGGTCAGACACAGGCAGGGGAGTCGATGCAAGAGTTGGGTGGCGAGGATCGTGGAAATGGGTAGGCATGAATATTGGAAAGATATTCAACAGCCATCTCAGGAGCGCAGAGAGCCAAACGCCGGCGTAAGACACATTATGGCAGAAGAGAGACAAGACAGCCGCTGTCACACCTGCACAGCACGTGAAGTGTGGGCTGGCCGCTGGCACATGGTTTGGGTTTTTTGCTACAAACTTTATTTTTTTGACATTCTAAATTTCACAAAGAAAAAAGAACAATCAAAATAATCATCACCTTCAAAAAAATCTAATTAATTGAGATTCTTTACATAACAAAACAAACTTAACAAAAAAAAGGAGTCATGATGATGATCAACTGACGATGATGAAGCAATTAAAAGTTGAATATATATGTAATTATTGAATTTTTTAAAATCCAACTGTCTTTTGGAAATTAAATCACTTTAAAAAGCTACTGATAACAACATACATAAAAAGACGTGAAAAAAGAAGACTGTTCTTTTTATTAAGAATTTGAAAATAACTTTCTCAACGATGTACTGAAATTAAGTTCATTTAAACCAAAAAAGAAAGAAAAGAAATACAAGAAAAAAATCTAAACTCCAGAATTGAATTTATGTAAGACCACTATGTCTTCTTAAGTTTTGTGAACGATTATGACTACTACTAGTACTAGTACGATTTGAATTACTTGAAAACAAATTCTCCTCAACGTTTTGTAAAACGTTCTTTTTCTTATTCAAATCGATTTCTTCTTGATGATTAGATTCAAGTTCATCCAACTTTTTATTACTTTTAATAGATTTACTACTACCAATAGAAGAATTCAAAGATGATGAAATGGTGGGAGATTTGATTCTTGATGGTATTGATCCACCTGAACTACTACGTTGTCCTGATTTTGATGCACCTCTTGGTAGACCATGTGTAGTAAGAGATGCGCGTTTGACTGTTGAAACATAATCTTCTGGTCTTCTCATTTTCCTGTAAATAAGTTTAAGATTCGAGTCAGTAAGAAATCGTTTGAATCCATGTAGATGATCTTAAACAAAACATGTTGATCAAATCAAATCAAACTTTACTCACTTATTCAAGCTTGGTAATGCATAATTAACTTCTTTACGAGCCCTTCTAGCTTCTCTCGAGCCACCAGCTGACCCATTCTCAGTAGTACTCTCCTCAATCTTCATACTCGGAACAAGGGTTTCTTCCTTGACCGCATCCAATGATCCTCTTGCCCGTTTCTTCCCTTTGGTAACTTTCTTCTGTTTTGGCCATTTTTCATCCGGATTACGTATCGGATTTGATGACTCATTTTCATCATCATCATCATCTGATCTCTCTCGTTCTTCAATATCTGCCTGTGAATCTTTCTTCAACCCTGAATCTCTTCGACGTGATGCCGATGTTTCAGACACTACCTGTAATCGATTATTTGTTTTAATAGACTTTGACTTCTGATTTATTCTCTCCTGTGACCCAGAGGTTAAATTAGGAAGATTCACTATACTTGGAACACATTCTTGGTTGGTGATCGAACTGGTGAGTGAAAAGATTTCAGGAGAAATAGCTGGAACGAATCCCGATGAAATTGAAATATTAGCACGTCGTTTCTTGCCCGGACGCGTATCAGTTCTAATATGAATAGGTGATGGTTGAGGTGAAGGAGATTGTTCTGCTTCACTTCTAGCTAATTCATGTGATGAGTTCATTTCTTCATCATTCTCTGATTCAGATTTATTGTTCTCTTCAGACTCAGCATCAGATGAATCCAAATCACGTGTGGGTATAGTTTTCAGCCTTGATTTTCGAAACATTTGACGTTGTGAAACTTTGTGCTGAGTCGGGGCGAGATTTGGAACATGATTAGAGGAAGGCGGTAGGGATGAATACTGGTCCTGCTCATCTTGAATTGAAGTGGAGGGTTGAACCAGGGGTTCGTTTTGCATGTTGGGTAGAATGCTTTGTCGTCGATGTGAACGTTCTGAAATAAAACTACTATCGATACCGGCGTGTCTGGAAGCCTGCCTTCGAGCAGGAGAATCAGATCCTGAACTGGATGATGAAGCTGACTCGAGATCGTAAGTAGCTTTGAGGTCTGTTGGACTAAGACAAACATCACATTTAACTCAGCTTCTCTCTATTCCGTATCCCATTGGAAATTCTGTTCTTGAAGGAAATGGAAACAAGCCAATGGTAATGAAACAAAACTCTTCCACATACCGAGTTTCATGAGTAGATGTCTCATCTTGACTACTACATTCGTCTATAAAGCTTAACCGTGTCTCTGCTCCGTCACTTGCCAATTCACTTCTTCTCCTTTCGCGTAATGCAATAAGTTCAGCGTGAGGTTTAGGGATCCGAATATGAGGTCGATCATCTTGATATGCTTGTTGAGAGGTAGTGAGTGCAGTAGCAAAGAGTCCTTCAGCTAAAGTTGGATTGTGATGAGATGTTGAAGGTGAATCAAGTGCAGATTGAATAAATTGACATCGAGAAAGGATATCGGAGATAGCAAGTCGAATGGAAGAGTTAGGAAGTTCATTTGATTTTGATGATGGATGTGAAGTTGAAGTTGAATTTGATGGATTTCGACGTGCCTTGGTAACTTCAAGACGAAGAGAAATGTTTTGATTCCTAAGTTCGGTGATTAAGTTTTCTAATTCAGTGATAGTTTTTAATAATAATCGATTCTTATGAATCAAATCTTGATTTTGTTTCGAATGTTTCTGTTTAACTTGATGAAAATAGTTTAACTTCTGTCAGCATTTCGAGATGGGTTTTTGATTTGGTTTACTCACAGTGTTCGAATGCTTCCATGATGATAGGCTGAAGTGATGCCGAATTAGGAGGTCCAGTACTCCTGGTGGCAGGCATTAGTTATTGTTCTTGACGATGACTTCGGTTTGAATGGTAAATGGTAAAGAAAGGAAACTTGACTTTACTTTCAATTTCAAAACTTCAACAACCTCTTTCTCAGCTGAGCGCCTTGACGTAAAATGGCACGCACGTGGCGGCGCTTTCTAACATACGAAGCACGGCAAGCGCGTGCACAGCGCCTCATGATTTTTGTAAGACTCTTCATTTATACTTCCTTTGAACAAGTTTCAGGTTTTGCACCATGACGAGCCTTTCCAAAGAATTAAGTTGTCACAAATTGGATGTACATGACAGCTTATCCAACACAGATTGTTTTTTATCTTGCAAGAAGGGATTGCTGCAGCAAAGACAATACACATCAGGAACCAATATGATCACCAGAGATGAGCTTGGGAGACATCCCTCGCAAAAACAAACCAAGAAGTTTGCATCATGATGAGATGTTGCAAACAAAACTGTGCCTTTTCAGTATCTCTTGAAACTGTCCAGTTGATTTTACTCGCAGCCCTTCTTTGGGTCTGCAGGTATAATATATTCCATGAACTATGATATGCGTTCATATCAACACTACGTATGTTGGAAGTAGATGAATGCACAGTCTGTTGTTTGACCCATGTATACAGATTTTGGAGGAAAGATACACGGGCCCCTGGTTTGCGATGGAATGTTTCAGTCACCATCTATAAGCCAATCATTCTCACATGAATTGTATTCAATAAAAACACTCATATACCACATATCAAAGGTTTCAAAACTTTACCACTTGAGCCAGCATGATCTCAACCATTAAATGGCTTGGAGTTTTCCATCTGCTTCTGTGCTTGTTGCTTCTAAAACAAATAGATCAAACATTAGCATTTGAAGACCTCCCAGATTTAAATTCATCACTTGATCACCTTCCAATAAAGATTGAAGATTCTCCCCCAACATCTCCACTCCAAGAGTTTCCCAGTCCAATAAAGATAGAAGATTCTCCTCCAACATCTCCCCTTCAAGATCAACAAGATGCACATAGACCTCTTGGGTATACAGGGGAGAATTCCCAGGGAAATTTGAGAAGACTGCAATATATCAGTTCCAGGAAAAACAAAGAACCACAGTCAAACATACAAGATTTAGAAAACTTACAATACATGGAAGTAGTGGATGGTGGAAGCCTTCATATTCCCAAACCTCTTAAAAAAGCTAAATTTTCTTCAAAAAACAGAGAGATTGGGGGACCATCAAATTCAAAAATTGATTCTTCAGCCATCAATTTGATAGATAACATCAAGGAAATGGCAAAAACACATGATTTGATCCCCTCAACACTAGTGTCTGCCATAGATGATTGGTTCACCAATTTGGAGGCAAAGATGTCTGACAAGATAAAAGGCTATGATTCTACATACAAGAGGAAAAGAATCATACACCCACATGTGAGAAGAGCAGTCTCAAAGGCCAATGCAGTAGCAACTTCATTTCTTGTCTGCCTGAAACTCCTCCATGAAGACCAATACCATGAAGTGATCAACTGGGAGGAGCAAATATTACAAGATGGATGGGTCTTCATCAGAACTATCTTTGAAGAGTGGAATGGGTTAGAGCAGGATGATTTAAACATATCAAAAACAACCCGGAAGATGTCAAAATCTTTGGAACATATCAATGATCTTCAACCTTCATTTCTTTACCATCATTTGGTATCTGTGAGATTACAAGGTTTGAACATCAAGTTTCTATGGAACTTATGGAAGAGATGGTACAGGGAGTCAGGATACTACAATAAGAGATTTCTTGCAACTCAAACTTGCTTTGTTAGACATATCCAGTATTTAATACTACACAATGGCTTCATTGATTCTCCAATTAATCCAGAGGTGATACTTCAAGGCTTTAAACAAATGGACAAGATTGAAAGTCATCAACAGATGCTAAAAGAGCACATCCTTCAATTTGATTGGCCCAAAAGATCCAACTCAGATATAAACCCTGATCATTTGGAGCGGATGTTGCACCATGTAGGTCAACTGGAGCTAGAGCTTTTGGAACAACACCAACCAGTGGAGGAATATCTTGAAAACATAAATCAACACTTTTTAAATGTGCTACCTAGGCAAGAGAACAATAAGGAGAATCATGAAGATAAACTGAAAGTAGTATTCAAATGTGTTGGAGCTACATACAGAAGGCTAATTCCAACATTCTTTGGAGCTGTAAAGCTGATGGAAGATCCTAAATCTTTGGTCCCAGCAAAAGATGAGGATAAGACGGTTTACCAAGCATGGAAATTCATCAAAAATCATCTAGATCACTGGAAGAATATTGATCTCAGTGAAGGCTATCATCTTAGACTCTCTGAGAATTTTTCACATGATCATGATTCAAAGGAAAGTTATTGGCTGTTTTTGGAAATGCTCAACTTGAACAGTGATTCACCAATCCCATTTGGAGTTATATCTAGACTGTATTACCCACAAAACTCATCTCCCAACAAACTGATTAGAGAACATGGTATCATGGATCAACAAGATACACTTAAGCACAAACTCATAGAATCATTTTTGAATCTACAAAACCAAGTTTCATAAACAGCTATGAAGCACCAAATCTTTTCAAATCCTAGGAGCTCACAGACCAGGATTAGGCAAAAGGCACAATTGTGACTTGTTCAAGTGTTTTTACAATATGTTGTTCCAATTTGAATCATATTCTCCTCATCTACATAATAGATTATGAAACTCCTCATAATTTTCCTTTCATGGATTTTTTTGGAATCCATTATTTTTTTCTCCTGAAGATTTCTTTTTGTTGCATTTTTACTTCATGATGTTGGGTAGGATAACACATATGACCTCACCTCCTGTTTTTTTTGTTTCCTAAGAAAATCATTCTGTTGCACTCTTACCAAAATGAACAGGAACCCAAGTATGTACCTGAAGTGAAGCTCTTCAAATAAAAGTGAATGAGTCTGCTTTTGATATATTGGGAGATAGACCGTTCTGAGAACCATGAAATAAACTGATTCCTAAGATCCAAACAAATCCTAGACCATGTCAGTTCAATCTGTGAGTTGAGATTGTGTCTTTGAATGTACTTTACCAAACTATCTTTTTCATTAGGGTTGTCATCAGTTTACTGTCTACCTAGTTATTTTGCTTGTTTGAGATTTTCAATTTGAGTCATTGGAATGAACTTTTGCAGATAGATCTATGTATAAGAAACAAAAAAGGTAAAAATTTGAACAGATGGAAATGTGTGCTTAAACCTGTGTGTTGTTGTGAGTGGATGATTAGGCAAACTTATTGAGCTCAAGAGGAGCTTGGTTGAATTTGATGATTAGGTGTGATGAGTCATGAATTCTTTGAATTCTTTAATCATGTCTTCTTTGGCCAAATGTTTTGTTGTACCATTATTCCGGTACCATATCTTGCAGTACCGGTGTCAGCACCTTGAGTCTTTGCTCATCCCCAGCTTCATGGAGCTTGACAGGTGCCTTTTTCCCTTTGGTCATTGTATCATTAAGGAAAAAGGTCCTTCACTTAATCAATACCACACCTCAGGGGTTAGGGGTTAGGGCTTCTTGGCATCTGCACCTTGCCTACTGAGCCTCATCCTCTCAGTTTGATTCCAAGTGCCTCCACAATAGACACCCTAATAAATATAGACACATTGATCTCTACTCAATTGCAGCCACTTTCTATCATACATAACTGTCCTTGTGATGTGTGACACAATTTTGACTCAGTATTATCTATGATTATGGCACGTCCCCAAGCTACGGGGCGGCTGAGCACCAAAAGACCTACTAAAAAAAATTGGGAAATTGTGACTGGTCTATATTGGGGACTAAGGTATGATGTATTGAAATTTCTTTGCTTATCTAATTTCAAATTTGATCATTTGTTTATTCATGACTAATCTCATATCATGATGTCATACAATTAGTAAGTAGATCATTTGCTGTGACCATGTTGAAACAATGTCTTTGGTATACAAAGATAAAGGCTGCTTACTACTTTGTACCCTTTATCTTTTTCTTTAGCAATTTCTATCCCATCACTTTGAGCAGGTTTGCTTGCTCACCATCAGTCATTGAAATTATCATATCTACTAGTTACTAACTGGTCTATTCCCTCAGACCTCTAGGCATCTTGTGATTGGTTATGAGCCCAGTGCCCAACAATTTTAAAATCAACTTCACCATGTCTTCTGAACCAATCTCAGGCGAACTAAACATTTGAATATCAAGAACTAAATGAGAAGAGCTCCTCCCAGTGGTGTCTTAACCTTTATGGGTGGATAATTGAACACGCCCTTGTCCAATTAATTGCTTCTCCCCATCCTGAAGTTCCAGATACAAGTGAGCAAGCAAACCTGAGGACAGGTAATAGACTAGCTAGTGACTAGTAGAGATGATAATCTCAATGACCAATAGTGAGCAAGCAAACCTGCTAAAAGTGATGGAATAGAAAATGGTAAGAATTTAAATCAACAGCACAAGAGCAACAGCACAAAATTAAGCACAATAATAACCTAGGGGAATAGATAGTCATCCCATTTCCTTCAAGGCATTTAAGAAATTCAGGTGACATATATCCATCACTTCTGTTGTTGACTAGCAAAATGATTTTCTTCCGATGAAAGGTCTCACCTTTGGATTCAAGAAAGCAAGACAAAGTTTCTGATTTAATTCTTAAAGCATAAATGTATTTATAAGAGGTACAAGTATCAGTGAGTTGATTACAGTAAGAAGCACCACCCAAGAATGAGACAGCTATTTTGCCAGTCACTATGAGCATATTGAAGAACAACAGAAAATTTGGGAAGTGATGATTTATACGGCAGACAATGGCCTTTAGACAACATACAGACTTCACAAGACCGATTAGCAGGAGGAGACCGATTGAACAAGATCCTCATTCGATCAAGGCTCGTGGAGTCGTGTGACCAGCTAGTCTGTTAAGGGTATCATAAGAAGTCAGTGAACGAGCGGATGTGGCAATCATAGAAGGTAAGGAATGCTTGCCAAATTGCCAATAGTCAGATCCAATTCAAGTACACCATCACGGATCGTGCGGTATAAAATTGCAGTGCTTTCTTTCATGACAGTGGAATGGTTCAATAAGTTGTTCCCTGTTGTTCCTCACTGCTTTTCAAAAAGCCCTCTTGAGGCCCTCTACATGCAAGTCAAAACTCAACTAAGAGCGCGTTCACTTAAGCGCATTCTGGTCAAAAATCGCATTTTACACATTACAGAAATCGCTTTCTGTAAAATGTGTTCGAGTTGTTATTTACAAGCATTCTGTAATGTACAGAATGCTTATAAAAAGCAATTTTTACCTTGATTTTTACAATTCGATAATACCGATTTTTTTTTCAATTTTTGTCCCAAAAGCCCTTTCTGATTTGTTCAACAATTTTACCAAGTCCCTCTTCACCGTACGGATAGTGATAGACCCATCCAAACCCATCACCTCACCTCCAAAACCATACCCCACCACTCTCCACTTCCATCGACCCCACCATCCTCTTGATCACACATCACCTTCATCGACACCACCACTCTTCACCTTCATCGACACTCATCCTCTCAATCACGTTTGATATCTTTCTTTTACTCATTCAATTTTACTCATTCAATCAACTCCACCATGTCAGACACCGATTCGGACACTAGCGCTACTTGTGAAGGAACCATCAATCAACCATTGACATCAACAAATGTTGAACTGATCAAGAAGAAATCAAACAAAAAATCAAAACCAGCCTCTGAAGTCAAACAAATGAAACCGAAAGAAAAACAATCAAAGAATAAGAAGAAATCAATTGATAATAATAAATTAAATGATAAGAAAAAAATGAATCGAATTAAAGAAGGAGTTGAAGATAAGGAGGATGATAAGAATGAGGACGAGGATGAGATTGTAGTCAGCGGAGGAAATTGGGTTCACAAGTGCACCGTTTGGTTGATTGACAAGTATTGTCATCAAGTTGAACTTGGAAACGGAAATGATGGCGGACTCAAGTCGGCAGCGTGGAAGCAAGTTATCGAAGCTTACAACAAACGATGGAAGACCAACGAATCATTGACTCGTTTGAAGAACCATATTCAAACAGTATGTATCTCATCATTTTATGTCTTCTCATCCTTTTTCTTTCTTCTAAATCGATCCTGATTTGATTCTACCCACTTTCTTTACATCAACAACCCAGCTTAAGAGGACTTACCGGGCGTTTGATAAGATAATAGGCTTGACCGGAGCTCCTGGGACCGATACCACGACTGGTATCGTTCATGCTGATAAAGATTGGTGGGAGGAATGGATTAAAGTGGTAAGTTGTTTTTTTCCCCTTTCATCCTTTCATCCTTTCATCTTCTTTATAATCAATTAATCATTGTCATTGATGTTTGTTATAGCATGGGAATAAAGATGCCATACCTATCAAGAACAACGGGTTTCCGGCTTATAATGCTGTCACGAGGATCATGCCCCCGAAACACTTACGAGCTAACGGTAATGATGGATTAGGAACTCGGAGCAAAAAGAAGAAACAATCACCAGCAGCTGATGATGAAGATGGAGACGATGAAGATGGTATTTTGTTTTCCTGTTTCCTCAGTAGTATCTAAAGTTGACATCCTCCCATTCGACATTACAGACTCCATTGCATCCAAATCCGAGTCAATCAAGATGATGGCTTCGCATCAAAGCAGCGACGGTATGGAGATCGAGGAAACACCTGTTAAGGATGAATATGTTGGAGAGAAAGATGATGGGGCTAGCAGTGAGTCGGATCTTCTCCCGAAATCTAAAAAAGGGAAAGCCCCGGTTCAAACAATTAATAAAGTAAGACATCATTATTGAATCAAATCAGAATCAATCAAAAAAGCTGGACTAACTGTATTTAATGATTTTGGATATAGAATAACCCATTCGCAAGGCATCTAAAAGCTGCTCAGCGCCAACTCGTAGAGGGGGAGGAGGAAACTCCTGAGTTGAAGTTTGTCCGTCGCAAGAGGGTTCCAGTTGACAGAGACGCATCGACTTCGACCACGAAACGATCTCGCACCACTGGACCAAAACTCATCTCCCAAGCAATTGATTGAGCTGTTGATTTAGATGAGCAAGGTGAAAATGATTGAATCAAGATTGCAAGGATGAAGTTAGAACAACACCCAAAACGAAAAGAGGCAATGGCGATCTTCAACCGTGGATGTGAGAAAGAACTCAAGCCGGAACATATCATTGAAGTAGCAAATAAATTGAAGGACGACGACACCGCATCTTTCTTCTGTCACATGGCTAAGAATTTTCAATGGGCATGGTTGATAAATGAAGCTGGGTTATCGCAATTTTATCAGGACAAGTAATATTGTTTATCTTCAAAGGTTTATCCTCAAAAAAATTATCAGAGTTTCATATTATCTTCTGTGCTTTTGTTTGTATCTTCATTCTACATTATTAAGCTTACTTCTCATTGCAAAAAATGTGTACAAGTCACTATATATATATATAATAGGTTCAATTTGAACATATAAATATATGTATGATACTTTTATTAAATGATACAGCTGCAATAAGAAGAA